CATGTGCGCATGTGTGTGAGCGCGTGCTTGTAGCGTGCTAGGTGTGACACGTTCGGTAGATACAACATTTAATCTATTTCCACTACCCTTGAAATTCATGCTCAACTCAAAGAAGAGAAATATGCACATGCGGATTCAGTGAGCCATCGTTCCATATATTAATTCCATCGAAAACTGATTATCCGAGTCATTTTGAATTTATATTCGCAGCCAGACTATGAAATCCTTCCAGTTTTACAAGCGATCGACGTTTGGTTTCAAAACATAATTAACTTACTATAATATTTTATTTTTGTGAAATTTTGCCGTGTTCGCGAAATGTAATCAACATTTCTGGTGCAGGCTGTTTGATTTGTGCCCGTAAATTTTCTACGCGTAATCTAAATGGCTTTTCACGTGGAAATTAGCGGACACTACTGGATGTATAACCATCGTTTAATACCCACAGTGCTGGCCGACGATTGAGTAACGGCATTGAACGGCAGTCGAGGACATTGCAATTCCATGATAGTTCCGACGGCAGCGTAACTGCCACGACGCGTTGTCTTCAAATAAAGTAACGTAGACATGAAATCGATTAGCGTTTATTCGTGGATAAATGGATCATATCTACATTGTTTCACTCTTGGTTAGTTTAGCCGGACCCACGTGAAATGTGTCGAACGTGCATCAAGCATCTAGTCCAGCAGATAAAATGAATCTTTTAGGAGAATCTGTCAAATTGTGAGACAGGCACCAAATTGCTGGACTAATCACCCAGCGACGAGCAACGATGTAATAAAGTCAGTACTGCATGTCACATTTTTGTCTCTCTGTAGACTGTACTCACAGAGCAATGTACCCCGCAATGAAAAATGATTAAACAGGAGATAAACGCGTTCCATCTACAATTAGTGTTAGCCGGTTGGTGTTGCGTCATGTCGAGTGGAACAATACGAAACAAATGAAATGGTATGAGTTTAATTATATGCTTTCCTCCAATCTCGTATGCTTTATATTTATTGCATGCGCTTGGCAATAAACTGCTGCGTCTGGTAGCTAGGTTATGCTGATTTCTATTTATGCAATTTCACTGTCTTTGCGCTTATTTGATTAGCAACAAGGTAGTGTCATATGATAAAACAGATTATTAATACTAACTTTTTTCACGAAAACTTACGAAAGTATTATTGTGAGACTGCTTGCAGCGGGAGTATGTTACGGCTAAGAAAGCTTTTGTTACATCGTAATTTAAACTCTAACATATGGCAGATTAGCTATAAATGGCGAATGTTTATAAAAGTAAACGCGTTAGAAATATTTCCCAATAGACCTGCTATAAATCTAAAGCCTGACATGTCGATTTCTAGCAAAATATATACCATTAGCGTAAAAAGCCATCAGACAATATGGGAGATTAAAAAAAACATCTTTGCTAAATTTGATCCTAAAAACGTGGTGCCAACCTGTTATTTCTAAAAACCTTAGAGATTTGAGAGAGATTTTAGAAATTTGCGTGCATGCACGATTTCGTGCGCGGGTTATTGACGTTCCTGCCACCGAGCAAGCGTGCACAGCACAACTTAAATTTCAATCTACACATGCACTAGCTGGTGAGAAAATGCAATAGAATAATTTCGTCGGGCAGACAACGGACTTCTACCGCATCAAGGATGTGACACAATGAATACACACGCACACGCGCTCGCACACACACGCATGCACGCACACACGCTCGCACACACACACGCATACGCACACACGCACGCACGCACGCACGCACATGCGCTTGCTACGGGAGAATCAATGAAACACTAACAACATCGGCTCTGTATTCGCTGAATATGACCCCTGTCGGTCCTTGCTAAGTTTAAGCGATAGCGAAAACATCTCTCTATAACCTGCTACAGTACGCAGCACGAGGTTTTACATATATATATATAATGTGTCTCTGTGCACAGCTCAATTGTGATACATGTAAGGATATATATATCTATTGTAATTTTAATAACATACGGTATAATAATTAGGTAAAACGGCTTTCTATCGCTAATCTAATAATATAACCATTCATTACCAAAAAAATAATTAAAAGAAGCCAGTTGGCAAAAAGAGCGCGAAAACTTTTCGATAAATTTCAGAAGGCTGGGGCATCGTAAGATCACCGCTATCGGCGTTGCGTCGACTCAGCCTAGAATATTGTTGATCCATTGTTGTTGCTATGTTGATTGATGATGTCGTCTGCATAACAATCAGGCATCACGCGACGGGAAAGACGATCAGTTACATCGGCACAATATAAATACAGGTCTCAAGTGATAGCGGCTATAGACCTGTCGACGTACGCGAGCAGCTTTTAGCAAATGAGTTTACTGAATAGTGTCACCGGGGTAGGGGTGTTCATTCATTATTTTAATTAGTGTGCGCGTCGAAATTAGAATATTATATTGATAATTAGCAGGAAACAATGTAGACACTGAATTCCGGCAACTATTTTGCATCCTATGCGAAAATATTTAATATGCATCAGCGGTTTCATGCCCGAATTAATTAGGCGGATAGCACCGCCTCCGAGCAAACATATGCAAATTAGTTCATACTACCTCTTGTTTCAAATCCCCTGTAACCTTTCTGGATCGATATTAATTATTAATTAAAAGGAAAATCTATGCGAGAAAGGTTTTTCCAATATCGAGTAACATCCGCTGTTTGATAGAGTTCCTGTGTTGAGTAAAATGGCTTCATCACTTTTTTCTCCGGCTGTGTTATTTTCCACCGGCTATACGCTTATAGAGTTATAGAGTATTGACGTTGCTGATGTGAAAGCCACGAGCGTTGCTTCTGGATGTATATCTATCGTTTAACACAGACAGTGCTGGCCGACGATTGGAGTAACGCTATTAAACTTCAAGCCGGCATTGAACGGCAGTCGAGGTTACTGCAATTCTATGATAGTTCCGACGGCAGCGTAACTGCCACGGCGCGTTGTCGTCAACTAAAATAACGTAGACATGAAATCGATTACCGTTTATTCGTGGATAAATGGATCATATCTACATTGTTTCACTCTTGGTTAGTCCAGGACCCACGTAAAATGTGGCAAACGCAGAACAAACATCACCCAGAGACGAGCTAATTATATGTAATTATTATTGGCTTATAGATTTGATCTCTCTTCTTCTTGGATATGCTATCTTATTCCTTCGTGTAAGAATTACCCATAGGGTCCTGCGAAATATTTTGGTGGCTATCAAGACGAACAGAATCATTAGATGGCTTGGGCACGTCTTTTGTGTCGATGTCTCAAAAAGTATAACAACGGTAACTATTGGCGTATTACCAACAGTAAAATGCAAACGCAGGTGAAAACAATCAGACCTTGGCCAGGGACAGTGGTCATGGGGCTAAAAGAGATTGGTTTTTTGATGGGGAAACAATGCAGGAATCTTTTTGTCTGACGGAGCTTTCCTGCCTTTCCATCGACCGGCAACCGTCATAACACAAATGGAGTAATATATGCGAGCTGGTACAAAAATAGCATACAAAAATTCTCCCTGTCAGAAGCAGTAATCACTACATCAACAGCAGTCCGATGTTGTAAAGAGCTAATAATTTATTTTTATACCCAACGAGTACAGTCACGCGTTCACCAAATTTCTCGCCATCTTTACAATTCTTAATTACCCAGAGCAACAACGGATTCCACCCGAAGTGCATGGCAGCAAAACCTCAGTCTGAATTGTGTAAACGAATTAGCACTAGCATCGCAACAATCCTAGATTTTGCGGCGGGCAATTACGATAAACGTTTGATAACGTTGCAATTAAATTAAAGCTGCCTCGAGCACGTTTAAATTAGAACATTTAAACTAAATCTGTTATTTTTTATATAAAATAAACTCTTTCAACAGATCGACACGTCCAGCTGTTGCTGAGAGAGGCAAACTTCACCGCCGGTAGATTGTTTAATTAATTGCATTATCGTACATAAACTATATACATCAAAGCACACATTTCGATTAAACATTGTAAAACCGGCAAAGTAAATGCCAATGTTCTCAATTTCCGTGTGTACTCTGCTAGCTCTTGGTTGTTTGTTCGCTTAGTTGGTTCGTTGTTTTATAGCCCTACTTGGTAGCAAGCCACTACCTTGCCCGCCCCCATCCCCATATGACATTTTCAGCTATTCCTGTGTCTTTTCCCTAGTCCGTCGCAAGATTTGCCCAACTAAACACCTCGAAAACAAGACAAAATAAAAACGAAAACCATGAAACCAAAATTACAAAATCGCGTTAGACAATTTCTGTGCGATAAATGAAATAAGCAATTTTTCCCTACAGATAAATGTCGCTACGACACACGCGCAGCAAAGTTGCCGACGTGCGTAACTGCTAGCCAGCGAGTCACACCGACCGCCCCTCGATTTCACTAACCCATCATGATCAATTCGGCCTAGAGATGACCCCCGATTCCCCCTAGCCATTTGCGCTGTTTTAAAAACCTGCCAAAACAATATCCGCTGCTCGTACAGGCCTTATTAGCCCAGCGGTCTCCACGCAATCGCTCATTAGGAGGCTAGAAATTGCATGCACCACGCTGTCTCGCAACAACGTCATGAAAGCTAAAGAAAACCCTTGTTGAAGCTTTTTATACGTGGAAACAGATGAACAAGAAAGAGCATGTGTGGCTATCTCCTTGGCCCTATATATAGTATATATATATATATATATATATCTATATATATATATATATATTCATATTATATATATATATATATATATATATATATATATATAAAAATATATTCACATATACATATATATTTATATATGTATATTTAATATATTCGTTAAATGCAATACTGTAAATTAAAACTATGCATATAAATAAACGAATGATAACCAATGCCCAAGGTTAAGATTATAGTACGAAATATATAAACGTTGATAACGTTTAACAGCTAGGTACGTCATACTACAAATTAACACAAATTAACATCAACAAATTAACACACCGTAAATATCAAGAGTGGCTTTCATCGAAATTCCACGATTTAGATGGAGGAGTAGGAAGCCATAGAGATGACACCTCCCAGTACAGGCTGCGAGACTCTACCAGCTTGAAGAGGAGCACCACAGCAGTCACTTTGAATATTGTCTCTCCAAAGAGGATGACCTAGTAAAAGCGCGAGTATGAGATGGCGAGGCACCCCACCCACAAACATTTCTGCACACACAACACCACTCATGATCACTTGATCCTTACTTATCGTTTCCTAATGACTACGCGTTGCTTGTTTATAGCATTTTGAAAATTGTGTGATATATATATATATAGAACTATACTTTCTGATAATTAATGAAAGGGTCAATGACACCTGTAGCTCACCAAAAAAGACACAAATGAGTGAGTGAGAAGAAGTCAGTTTTAATTGAGCAACCATTCAACGTACATTATAGAAACGAAGAGTATATATGGGAGAACTCCCATTATATACTCTTGATATATATGTGTAATTTTTTATGTGAAAATAATAAATAATATTATATATAAATTATAAATAATTTATAAACCAAATGAATCCCAATTTGTGACGGTAGAGTGGTGCTATACCCGCTTTATGTTTCTTAGCATAAATCATATATCATAATAATAATATAATAATAATATAGTAAATCATAATATGTTCATAGCAGGAATTTTGCATTGAAGATATTGTCAATGAAATCTTGTAAAACGAACAGACGAGTGTGACACCACAGACTGTTTGTTATCTGCGTGTCTATATAATATGCTATAATAATTCCATACCCTACCTAATTTGCATAATTTTTTTAAATATCAAAACCCTAGCCCTTATCATTCACATACCAAAAATGAGCAAAAATCCGTTGAACCTGAACTGACTAATGGCAATCCCATTTTTGCCAAAAAATTGCCGGTGGCTCGAAAGTACGTCGACTGGCGTGCTCCAAAATAGGACGTTTAATGGGAGCATAGCAGTACAACTATACCCAATTTCAAACATGTGGTCAAACTGTTCCTGAGTTATCGTTGACCATGCGCAAATGTTTAACGGACGAACGGACGCACGCACGGCACGCACGGGCGGACGTATAACGACAACGACCCATGGCAATAGCTCAGCTTGACGATGTCAAGGTGAGCTAAAAATTGGTGTAAACCTGTAGGATTTTATAAATCTAGTCTTCCTTTTCAAGCTCACTTACTTATATTACAGGACTTGCTTTTACTGTACTTACCCTTAGCCACAGGTGAGGGGAGACCAAACAGGAAAGCGCCCACAAAATTGGGTAGCTCAAAAACCACATCAAACAGACCTGTAATACCAGAATTTTAATGAATTTCCTTACTCTTTTAGGGTTCACAGTTTACTACTAAATTTTACAGGTAATATCAACAGAGACACCAAGCTATTTGGCAAATTGCCCCCCAAATTAATTACTCAACTAAATTGATTGGTAACTTTTGCATAGTTCTTTTGCTTGGTTATCGCTATTATATCGACAATGTTACGAACTATGCCCGTGTGTCTGTTACAGTTCAGAATGACTCTTTTGGATAAAACGTAATTTCAGACAGCCAAAGGCCAGATAATCATCACTCTACTGTGTTAATTCAGTTCTGTGTTTAGAAGGGCAGGATAACTCTAAGTAAAAGGTTTTTTTGTAATGGAAACAGTGTCGGATATCTGCTTTACCTGATATGGACACAATGACCTCTGCTGTTTAAAAGCCCTTCCCTCAGTTAATTTTAATCTGATATACATACACGTGCAAGAAAACAGCATCAACCCTACAGGGACATGCACAAGAACTGGCATCTCTCACTATTTACGATCCTTATTGCGAATTAACAGCACATGATATCTATAAAATCCCACTCACCTTAGTAAAACTCCTATAGAAGTCCTTCTTCAACACGCTTCTTTCTCTGCTCAATAGGTTATTGACGTTTGCCACGAGCACAGAAGCCATACCCAGGTTCAATATCACTTGTAAAAGTCCTGCGTCACTGCGGTAACCGAGGTATCCAGTGTACTTTCCGCTCAGTAGCTGGGTCCACGCAAACAACAACATCTACAAAGTGGTGAAATGAGCAATTTACAAAAACTGCTATCTGTTTTGAATATGACCGTGCAAAATAACTTCAGTTTCGTCTCTGATATATTCAGAATCTTTCATCATAAGACGATTTTTATATCTATACATCACACATATACCTAAAATGCACTCATGGAGTTGTGCACTTATCAAGTTAAGCGCCATGTTATACTTAGTGATGTCATACACAGGCACTCAGAGAGTAATAGCACACAAATACATCGAAATTAATATTTATTTATTAATGCCAAACGAAGGTCGCTTCCAGACGTCTACAGCTATAATTCCTCAAACCTTTCAACATTCAGTTCAGTGACACGCTAAGTCAAGTAATTAATTATTACTCAAACACATTTAATTGTACGACCATGAAAAGACTAAATGCATCCTATACGATCACCACTGAAACACTAGGGCTGTGCGCGACAGGCCGTCTACTTAAACTTGCGCCATTACGTGCACGAATAGACATGATTACCTGCACGATTAGCAGACCCGTGAATGCCCTGAAGGGTGGGATGAGCGTCGCCTGGCTAATGTGTGGCCACGTGCCTGCCAGCATCCATCCGAGGGAGATGTATAACATCACGTAGCCCATCACCGCTTGTGAAACCATGTCGCAAACTGCAAAGACACATTGCTACAAGTAACCGCCCAGCACACAGTACACACGGAATATGAAAGCAGTAGTGCTAAGAGCTCTCCATATAATCGCCCGACTGAATGCCCTCTTTAAGGTCAGAGTGAATGAGCTCGCCTAGAGGTAACCTGTACTCAAGTTGTTTGAACAAGATCGGTTGTAATATGAAACCCTTAATTTGGGCAGCCATCATTACAGCGAACATATCCTTTGTTTATTACTAAACCATGCTAACCGAGTTACGAGCAAAGATAAATTGTCTGCAATTTCACTTCGATTGATAATAAGAGCAAGGAAGCCACTCACGTAAAGAGAATGTTTCGATGGAGGGAAGGCCTTCTCCGTTTGAAGCAAATCTATTAACAGAAATACCGCAATAACAAACACGATTATCTCAAACTAATCCAAAGATGACGATCACTGGACAAGGGCATGCACTACACTCCTTGTGCTTAACACAGCATTTCAGTAGCTACGAATCCAAGCCCCAAGTACGTCATATACTGTTACACTAGAATAAAAATCCATACCAAAACAAATGCAGGCAATGCAGACAAGCCATTCGGTATCTTTCCTATACCCCAGCAATATGAAAACGAGGACATAGTAGTTGTTTTTGTTAAAAATTCCGTGGCAGTACCCACACAATTACTTGGCAACACCGCCAAAGTATACAAATGACAGTATTAACGATTTTATGCACAGACAATGTGAACGTCGAATTCTGCCAATACCAACACACCCAACACTAATTGTGTTTTTTTCCAATTATTTTTTTACACATCTCATTAGATATGCTAAGTTTTAATTGCAATGATTACTCAACAACTGATGATTATGGTAGGAGACATTAATTAAGTTATAATTTACTCATAAACAATGCCCATCCCCATATCGTTGTCAAAATTCAAAGGAGTAGTATAGTATGGTAGCAATTGGACATACTTTTATGCATTACCAACTGAAAATATTGTTCGCTTGTCGTTAGTAACGAACATTTTGTTGTAATGCAACTAACAGGCATGCAGTAACGCGAGACATTTACACCCATACCTTGTAAGATGAGTTGCCATGAAGAATGCTGATAGGCATGTGCCCAACACACAGATGGATAGTGCTTGGAAGACTGCATGCATTGGTGTTCCCCTTATCACTGCCTCATAGACTTGTGGTGCGTAGATACACATGAGGATGAACGTTAACAATACTAGGATGCCATAGAATGTAAGCAGCCCTAAAACAGAACAACCACTCAACCTATAATTTAAGATATTAAAGTGTCTTTCCATTTTCCCTTCTTCTCTTCCTTCACATTCGATTCTCTATTTCAGGCTAGTATAATACTGAACATCAACAGCCAAGGTATACACACCATCACCTTGCACAGACTTCTGTTAACAATACGACAATGAAAACAGAAACATATTACATTACCCTGACCATGAAATAGCAAAGGTGAATAATGACAGGGGCGTGAATAACGACAGCGGTGAATTCCGTCATTATTTACCCCCTGGAACTATAGTCAACTCGCGAGAACACCTACCCCTCTGTTCGACGCTGAAGTGGTTGGTGGCATTTCCGACGACGTCCGGGTTCATGAGTAGCAGCGTATACTCCATGTAATTCGGCGTCAGCATCACCGTCATCGTGCAGGTGTAGATGTCCGCGTAAACCACGTGCCAGGTCATCGGTGCGCCTCCCGGCGGCATTACCTGCACTCTGCTACTGGCGCTGACTCGATCTCAAAGAAAGTAATAAACGCTATGCAAAATTGTCGCTTCATAATATGGGTTTTTTTAATTTATAGGTAGAAAGAAAACTTTTTTTCAAAGAGAGGCTGTTATGCAGGAAGGTTTTTGGATTATGTGATGGCTATGTACGACACGGAAATACCATTGAACTGTTTGAAAAATCATTTCTGTAGGGGATCACAAATTGAAACTCGATAGTTGAAGATTCTCAATGTAAATTTAAACTTGAATCTCAAAAGAATTTAGGCTCCTACATTTGCGGTAACTACTGATCATTGTCATTATTTCAAAAAAAACATTAATTTATAGGAAATACTTCACACCTTTACATCAGTTAATTTACATGTGGTTATATTTGTACATACGCACACTCAAACATGCATGGGACACACTTTCATGTCATCATGTTTTTTAAGAGAATTTTTTTTACAATTTTGTAATACTCACGGTGAAAATTTGCTAGATGTATCTTGGCTGTGCAATTTACATGTGACAAACTTTGGGCCTCTTTCCATCGAGGGGCATCATAAATAAAGAACCTTGCAGGAACATGTCCTGTTCCGTTTACTAGATACCTAACCTCACCACCATTACCTGCAAAATAATAATGTCAAAAACCATCAGGTAAATTTTGAATAACCAATTGTAACACATTAGATGCAGATTAGAAAACACAGCTGAACCTGTTCATATATGGTGACACTCAAGGGAAATCCCAATAGTGTCCTTCATATATAGACACGTATGTGTCCATTCCATACATATGGGTTTACTGTGAAACTTCCACTCAAGAAAAATGCCAAAAGTTTTCTTTATAGACATGTGTCCATTCTACTTCTATCCTTTCTGTCCATCCTGCATGTGTTGACAGAACAGTTGACAGTTGACCAGTTGACAGTGTTAGACATATTCCAATGGGTGGGACATATATATTAATCAATATTATAAGTAAACTTCAAAAACTGTTGACTTTTAACAAATGGTAATTTTAATAATATCATATGTATGTATATATATATATATATAGAGAGAGAGAGAGAGAGAGAGAGAGAGAGAGAGAGAGAGACAGAGAGAGAGAGAGAGAGAGAGAGAGAGAGAGAGAGAGAGAGAAACAAAGAGAGACCGACAGACAGAGAGAGATAGAGAAAGAGAGGATCCTCGAGGGAGAAATATTAATGAGAGACGCACATGTAATATTATGATGTATACCATGTACCGGTACACACACAGATGTATATACATCTGTATACCATCAGGAGGCTATCAATAGATATTGATAGACTCGATCCTGATGCCATGGGCTATACATGGCTACATATGCCTTGCCAGTGAGAGAAGGCATGTTACGTGTGTTGTGTTATGAAGTATGTCCTTGTAATAGTTACATAACACACTGGGAATAATAGACGCAGACATAAGGTAATATACAGAGACGATATCTGTTGTGCAACTTCCTTGCTTCCAGGTTTATTGGCGTGCCCCGCATCGTGCGCGTCACTCGTATCCATACGCGTCCAATATAGTTCCGCTACATGTGCGGCTGTTACCATTATACAACAACGTGAAGATATAGTTTATTTGCTACCGGTACTTGATACTGATAGTGATAGTGAATCCTCTAATAGTAATAGTAATAGATAGGGCCTACTTATATAAATCTTAAAAAGTTAAATAGGGTTGCACCACCATGTATACCATCAATACACTGAACAGTGCTGCCTGCTGGTGTCCTACGGCTATGCCATGGTGTACACTACCCCATTTCATATTCAAAATGAGTTTACCATGAAATGTGAACGATGCCACGTGCAAACCACGTGCTTTCCTAGCCTGGGCTGAATTAGTTGTGAAGCGAATAGTTTTTGACACGGTTTCTGATATACAAACATTAACAATAAAAAGAATAAGAACTCTGGATATGAAAACCATGTTCCCGCTTCATATCTTAAAACATAACATGTAAGAACTGGAATCCAGTCATTGCTGTCTAACTTTAACAGTTTTATCAAGAGACAAGAACGATTATCAAGATTTGCACACAAAAATATAAACTTGTGCGGGCGCAGACATGTTGAAGTTTCCAGGCCAGACATAAATCATCGATAAATAATGCTAAAAGTATCCGCAAGATGGGGTGTGAGGCATTGTTGTGCGTGCAGCTGTATTTCCTCAACAGTCAAGTTGTCACTTCGCCGATTGTGAACTTTAAAACGATGGCTGGGACTGTTAAAAAAGGTATAAACAAAGCCACAAATAGATAAGTTAGATTATATATGTTAAACTAACTGAATAGAATAACGATAACGATTAACGTATACTGCCGAACTTAGAGTACAAGTAGGCTGCATCACTCTCTAAAGCCTAGGACACGCTGTGCGATTTTCGGTTCAAAGATAGAGAACATGGGTCCCAATAAAACCAATGTCATTTTAATCAATATAAATATAATATTATATCAATATAATAAGTTAGGGTTATGGTTAGTGTTATTGTTAGGGTAAGGTTAGAATTAGGGTTAGGGTTAGGCACATTGATTTTATTGGGACCCATATTCTCTATCCTTGGGCCCGATTTTCTACGCTGGCCGCTTGCGATCGATAAATACGGTGCCGGGTCCGCGCGGTGTGTCCGGTCTCACGGCAGCGTATTTCGCATGCGATCCCATACGCCCGGCTGATCGCTCGCATTCAACATGTTGAATATTTCCGCCCGGTTTTTCATCGCTTGCATACAGCGCATGCGTTTGCACCAGCGCGCCCAACAATGAACAATCGCGTTCGAACGCGATTGTTTTTAGCAGCCAATCAAGTGTAGCAACGAAAGCTAGGAAAACCGTTGGATACGTGGTTGGACACCGTACAGTGTGTGCAGTTGTACGCGCAACTCGTACGGCGTTCTAAAATCGTGAGCGAAAATATACGCCGCCGGGCAGCGTACAGAATCGCTAGTGTGTCCTAGGCTTTAAGCCTAGGACACACTGCGATTTTCTACGCTGGCCGCTTGCGATCCGCCGATCGATAAATACGGTGCCGGGTTGAAAAACCGGGCGGAAATATTCAACATGTTGAATACGAGCGATGCGCCGGGCATATGCGATCGCGAGCGAAATACGCTGCCGTGAGACCGGACACACCGCGCGGACCCGGCACCGTACCCGGTATTTATCGATCGCAAGCGGCCAGCGTAGAAAATCGCGCAGTGTGTCCTAGGCTTAATTAACACTCAGTGCATGGATGATCATGATCACAGGTAGTCCACAAATGCAGACGTTATAGCTCCGCTTTGCTAATCTGAGGGTGCGGGTTTATCCATTACTGGGGTCTGCGTCGGCTCGGACTAGATCACAGGCACTTGGAACATCTCAATAAAAAAAATTAATGGTAAATAAACACGAAATGTACCAAAGTTTTAATGTTTCTCTACTCTATTTCGCCTATAATCACCTGTAAATGCCGGTCAAATGTTCATCTGCAACACACAAGTACACCGCATGCCCGCCCTAGCTGTGCTGCGTGCACAAACAACATGAATAAGAGAGCAGGTAGGAAAGCGTCATCGCGAAATTCGCTCGACGCTCGCTTCATTTCACATGATCACAGAACGAAAACACATCCAACAGCTTCCATCTTGGTATCTATGTGTACATAAATGTTCACTTGTTCGAATTATAACTCTGGCCTTTGTTCTTACGTACTCTCGCCAGAGATATCTCGTGAAATCCTGCAGGAAATGTTCTCTCCGTGAAAATGTAAAGCGGACGTATCATCCGAAAATCCCTAACGGCGCTACTTTCAATCGATCGCTGTAGTCGTGTGTGCGTGACGTCATTCCCGCGCGCATTGTGCTTGAGACGTTCCAAGTGCCTGTGATCATGATGGACATCTCTTGGCAAGAATCTTGCTTCGTTGTGATGATTTGACATGTGTAATTTTATATTGCAGTGTTTAAGCTAGACTGCCAAGTCCAAAACTATGCCTGGGGTAA